CCCCCCCCCCAGACCTTTACAAAATAATATACTGCCCCCCCCTACCAAAATTCCTAGTTGCGCCCCTGGTGCCGGAATATAAATATATGTTAATCGGCTTTTTCTCCGGCCATAGTTATATCTTATATCTTTGAAAAGTAAGTCTAATCAACCTCAATCAAAAGTTACATAACACTATGAGCCTCGTTAAAAGAAATTAAGTCTTTGCCACAAAATTTTCTAATTCCTATATATCTATTCTTGCAATCTGTATAGTGTAAACCTTTATTAATTCAAACTAAGTTCATTTGATCTTACAAAACTCATAGTTTGAAGTATCAGAGGTATACGACAATTCATAGTTTGAAATATCAGAGGTATACGACAATTCATAGTTTGAAATATCAGAGGTATACGACAATTCATAGTTTGAAATATCAGAGGTATATGCCAATTCATAGTTTTTAAATATCAGAGGTATACGACATTGGGTTGAACAACAAGTAAAATGACTGAGAGCGTAATTTCAAGTTATTTGCCATGCAAAGATGACAACTTTCGATTTACAACAGCACCCTTTAAGCATTTGACTGATCATCGAGGATTGATAACTCTGTGTGTGAATCTCTCAAATAGTGTTTGAAATGCCATAAAACGGGAGTTTATGCTAGCGTACAATGAGAACTTTCATAGCTGACGTGACATGTATACCTCGAATATTCTATGTCAAAAGCGGTAAAATTTCGAATTTATAACTATTTATTTTCTGCTACTTCTAAAAAATAACTATTACTCTTGAATAGAAATCCGTGGATTAACAAGGATTAAAATCCTTGATTAGTCCAAGGTTTAAAGAATACTGCTGTGAATCGGACACGACACTCTATAAATGGAGAGTCACTCAAAACTACACAGACAGTTTCTTTAATATACAGGATTTTCCACGAAACATGACAGTTGGTAAATAGTTTTGAAGGTCGTCTTCCATACATTGTATTAGATATTAAAGGCTGTTTTCAGTTTCTTTCGTTTAAAAAATCTTTTGCTAAAGTATATTTTACTTTGAAATTAATTTTACTATAATATGACTCCTATATAATATTTTATTAGTGTCTTTTGGTATTAAACAACTTAACAAATTATGGAAGAAGACATTCTAAACTATTTACCAACTGTCATGTTTCGTGGGACACCCTGTAACTGTTTACACCGATGTAAGAAATGTATATCTTATAACTATACTACCGTACGGTTGCAGGGATTGGTTGGAACAACGACTTGAAGAATAAACCTTTAGATTTAAATAAACTTTTCAGAGTTTAACAATGAAGATTAATTAATTCTGTTCAGATCAGTTTATATATTATTTTAAACCTTTACAGTGATTGTTCTTCCACAAATCTTTAATCAAAGATGTCTAATCTACTGGAGATCGGACCTTTAGTGTGAAGTTTTGTTAATCTTGAACACTTGATCTCGATATACAGTTTGGACATTTTTAAAGAAATACTATTTAGCATTTATATTTTAATTATATTTTTGCAACCAGATGTCATAAACCTTTCATGTCTGTGCACTCTGCTAGATCAAATAATTAAGCTTGAAATATCACCATCAGGGTGCAAAGATGTAGAGTTAAGGGAATTTAAGTTTGTGGCAAAAACTCAATTCATTTGAAGATAAATACTTTATCCCTTGATTAAGTGTTTTGTCTATTACAGTTAACAGGCCCATTATAAACAGTCCATTATTCAGAAAATATCAATAAAATCTAAACTAAAATTAAATGGAAACCAGTTTTTCTATAACTCGTTCAGAAAAAAATAAATTGCTTTTTAATTTTTAATTTTTTTTTAAAATAGACAAACAATCCCTTTACATGGAGAAATTGTCATTTTCCTCATCATAAAAGTAGGAAATAGGAAAATGTGATCATCGGGATTCTGAATCGACACAATACATTTATTTCTGATAATAATAAATATATATAATATAATGCATAATGATTAATCAATGATGTCGGGCCGGGCTTATCCTTCTTAATATACAGAAACTTTTGTAATTGCTCTAAAAGTCGCAGAAAATGCATATTAATCTTGGAATTTTTTAAAACCATTATTCTAGATCTGTTTAAAAAAGTAAGAATACCTGAACTTTTTGAAAATGAAGAAAACAGGAAAAATGCATATTATTGCAACTTATATATCCTGTGTTTGTAAAGGGATAGAGAGTAAGGGTGACTGATTTGTGACTTTTTTTAGAAATCAGCCACCCACCTGAGGTCACTGCGTTTTTACTTTAAAATATTATTGTAATCAAAAAAAAATTCAAAATCGTCCATAGGATTGCAAATTGAGGATCTAATATTGGAGAATTCACCGTAAGGCCTAAAAAAGATTTTCAAAAAACTAAATAGGATTCATCATTTTCTTTGAAATTTCATGGTGAATTCAGATTCGAAAACCATTTTTAAAAATATTAAAATCCAAAAAAGTTATGGCCAAATAACGGTACTAAATTCCGGTTTTTTAACTTGTTAATGTTTTCGAATAGTTTTTTTGGCTCAAGTTCACTCAATTTTCAGTTTTTTTAAACGCTTTTCAGATTTGAATTCAGCATTCCAAGAAAATTATGTATAACCATGAAAATAGAAAATAAAATATTTTTTTGTGGCCTTAGGGCGAATTCTCCGATATTAAATTGTCAAATCTCAACTCTATGGTTGGTTTTGAATTTTTTTTTATTGCAATATTTTTTTTAAGTGAAAACACAGCGACCTCCGGTGGTCCGTTGGCTCAATTCCAATATTTATCACCCCTAATAGAGAGGTCTGTATCTGGTAAGTAGTGAGGATTTTGTTTAGTTTATCATTCTCTTAAGTTACAAATTTAGCATTGAAAGTTTAAAAGAAATATATCAATATTGTAATATTAGCAAAAAATGTTTTTATTATTAACTTATTTGTGCGTTTTTTTTCTCTGTCCCAGTTACTTTTCTCAATTTTCTATTTCAACTTTCCTTGTTGCATGAACAGCATAAACAGAAAACTTTTGTCGCTTTGCTAAAAAATAATTTTTGATACTATCTTAAAAACTTTTCTTTTGAATTATTTTACCAATCAATTTATTTTATCAATTGATGAAGAAGAAAAATATTGCAAAATTAAGAAAATTGAGCTTGGCTTTTAAGAATTACAAAGAGGAGAACATATAGATATTTCACAGATACAGGAAAATCCAAGTTAAAGCATGTTCCGAAATACAATTTAAAATGTTATCTGTTTGTGTAATTAAAAAGCCAAAATAAAAATGAACGATCAAAAATTAAATATCTTTTTAAGAATATCGCCATGACTTATGGTTCAATCTATTATATTATATATTATTATATATTATATAGTATACAGGGTGTCCCACAAAATTCATTACATTCCGGTAATTTTGGAAACACAAAAATGGAGAATTTTGTATTTTGTTGCAAGAATTATACTTGTTAAACTAGGTTGACAAATAAATTAAATTTTTTTTTGAAATATCCAAGAGATCTTCAACCATAGATAAATAAATAAACATAGATAGCTTATGTACGCAAAATCACCAAGAATTGTACAGTCCGCGAACTCATACTTCTAGGGGTCAAAGTGTACTTCAATGATAAGCGGGGTGGTTTGGCGTTTTAATGTATTTCATAGAATAAGTGTAAAATAACTCCCGGAATGGAACTATTTGAACAACAATATTTCACTGAAGAAGGACATGAGAAGGACTAAACTAACTTAAATTTCTCTCTACAGAACTCATGTACACCACAAGTACTCAATGACATAAGAACAGCCAATGTTCACAACCGACCTAGGTAATCTATATAATAGAAATATCTTTAAAACATCTTAGTACATTTATATCTTTTAAGATTAAAAATGTCGTCTTATGTGCAATCTATCTTTATCTATGTCTTCAAGTCGTTTCTCAACTTATAATCTAAAATGGCTGCTCTATCCCAACAAAGATTGCAATTTGCATTTTGATTTAAACAAATTTCCATTCTTGAATTAATCATGTAAAATTATTCTGAACAGTTTATATAGGAGTATAAGTACATGAGATAATCATCACTTAACCACACATAGTGTAGTAACAATAGTACTTATATTTAACATTAGTATAGATAGACTGATAGTTGGACTCAAGAATGTAATGCAAGTAAAGTTAATTGCAGTTGCGTATACTCTGCGTACATATTGAAACCAGTTCTCTCTGGGCGGAATTTGTAAACAAGAATAGATGCATCAGTGTTCGTTTAGTATCCGAGGAGATTAAAAGCATTAAATTTTGATAATTTTGATAATTCACATAATATAATTTCCTATGACCAGAATATTTCATTGATTATTTATGTGAAAGATTGATCCCATGTCAGGCTTCGACATCCGTCTTGTGTTTACATTACCGCCCAGTGACAGTACACTGCAGTACAAAAGATGCGTACACCTCTGAAATAACTTTCCTTGCATTAAATCCTTGGTTTGACTAGAATATTTATCAAATTATATAAGTGTACTTTTCTTTCTATCTAGTTATCCAAGCACATTGCACTGCAAACCAGACAGAAGGATAAGGTAAACGTTTTGCGACATCACTGGTCCGGCTTTGTCACCTTCTAGCTCCTCTAGTTTAGAGGTTTTAGGCACAATTGAGAAGAGCAATTTTTTCCGGTTACATATTACAAATTCAAACCATTGCTGTTCTCCTTAATAGCTCTTTAGCTTAAGGACTGATGATTGAAAACATATAATATTTTAATCTTGACGTGATAATCCAAGCCAACTGTCAGGATAAAAACAGAAAAGATTAAAGAATTAATCTGGAATGACATAAACAACATAAACAGCATAAAAACATCTGAACATCTGATCATAAAAGGTCTATTTGACTCAGAAATACAATACAATGCTCATACATATACAATACATTTTAGATACATTCTAGATACATGTGTTTAACATTATTCAATATTACATTGTTCAATATGCAAATATATATACATGTTAGATATATACTAAAACGATATCATGTTTACTGTTAAGTGAGTACCTCCCACTCTTTAATCTGAAAAGTACATTAAACTGTATACATAAATATCATAGACTATGAAATACGCAAACTGATCATATAAGCTCTTCCTGATTAGGATAAACAGGCCTATAGTTGTCCCGGCACGCCTTGCTACATTTCCACTTTTCATATAATACCCATGCTTTTCAATTTTACCCAAGTTTTGCAATTTTAAAAGAAGGTTTTGTATTTAGTGTACAAAGGATCCTTAAATATCCCTAAATACAGAGCCCAAAATTTAAAAGAGTATCGTTGAACGAAACTCTCGAGTTTCCTTTATGGGGTCTTAACATTTTGTAGAGTTTGGTTTCGGAGAATCGACAAAAATGAAGAACATGAAGAAACTAAATAACATAATATTTCCTAACAAAAATATTTATATTTACAAAACTGCCTAACCCCATTAGTAAAAACCGGGTTTTAAAACTGTCTTAAGTTTTGGGCTTAGACGTCTGTGTATTGGTCGTGTACTCCAGTTGTACACAATGGAACCTGCTGAGGAAAATATCGCACTTTTAATAGATCTCTGTATTTTGTCTCTGATATATATATATACCGTACATTATTTAATATATATACAATATACATATATCTAGATAGGCTGGATACATATATACATATACTTAGTGTGTAGTATTTATCTATAATCCCCTTCTTCTTTTCATTACTCCTTGTTAATTCCTGAAAAAAACCTTGTAACAAGGAAATTTCAGAGAGGATTTTACATATTTTGTGGGTTAAGTAAACCTCATTTATTTTCACCCCCCCCCCCTCCGTTCCGGCGTGTTATCAGCATTGACACTTACTTTCTTTTATTCAGTATCTGGAAGATAAAACATTTAGTGAGATAAATCCTGAACTATAGTTCATTATGTTTCTCCTCATCTATCCTATAGTTCTAGTTCTTCTAAACCTTCAGGGATATTGCTCTAGTCCGGAGACAGATCAAACCAGGACCAGGATACTAGATAGTATTACAGGGAATCCAACAACAAAATACTTTGTGTCAAATAGATTATGAAGTACATGCATGGGTGGCAACATAGAACAATTTAAATTTTTAGTGTCAGACAAAATATTCAATAATTGTGATAGAAATTTAGAAAAAGTAACTTTACCTAGGACATTCTTAAATATCTGATTGCATAAATATCTATCTATATCATCGTGTAAAAAGGGGAATAAAAATAAAGAAACTGAGTTTTTAAATCTATATATCTTTGCAACCCGATGTTGCAGACCTTTGATATTTCAAACTATGAATTCTGTTAGACCAAATAGTCAAGTTTGAAATATCAAAGGTTAACATTATCAAAATATAGCGAATAGAAAATTTAAGTTTTTGGCAAGAACTCAGTTTCTTTGGATTACAGTGCTTAAGTTTGCAATAAAAATAGTGAAATTCTAACTGATCTTTTTATCATTTTCCTGTTTTATTAATTCGAAAGTTCTTCAAAATCTCATTGCCACATATTGTACTTGATAATCTTTTAATATTTTGTAATAGCAATGCACAGATATTTCTTTTTATAAAAATAGTGAATACTTGCATCTATGTTTTGTACCTTAATTTCAAGTGACTCTTATTGTAAAAGGCACCCTAGAGGTTTAATTAAAGAGGGGTTATAAAAGGAGCAATTTTTTCAGGTTATTTCCTATGAAAAACCCCTTCAAAATTTATCAATTTTTTTATCTTACTTAAAACAATTCTCAGGGGGTCTAGGGTTTTTAAAGAATGTTAGAGTTCCATAATTTTTTCACAACTTTCCGATTGCGGTTTTAAAAATCATTAAAAAATGTCGCTTTCTTCCAAACAAAATGCCGGATTTTAATAACAACTAAATTTCGGAAAAATATTTGTGTATTGTAAAAATGATGTTAAATTGTTGGAATTTAATTAATAGTTGAATGCTACCCAGTCGACCCATGGATATACTTACAGAAGGAGGAGAAGGATAGTTTAGTGTGTTGCTCCAGGTATTAGTTAGCATAGTGAGATAAATAACCTAGTGATTGTTTGGTGCGTTGCTCCAGGTATTAGTTAGTATAGTGAGACAAATAACCTAGTGATTGTTGGGTGCGTTGCTCCAGATATTAGTTAGTATGATAAATAACCTAGTGATTGTTTGGTGCGTTGCTCCAGGTATTAGTTAGTATAGTGAGACAAATAACCTAGTGATTGTTGGGTGCGTTGCTCCAGATATTAGTTAGTATAGTGAGATAAATAACCTAGTGGTTGTTTGGTGTGTTGCTCCAGGTATAAATTAGTATAGTGAGATAAATAATCTAGTGATTGTTTGGTGCGTTGCTCCAGGTATAAATTAGTATAGTGAGATAAATAACCTAGAGATTGTTGGGTGCGTTGCTCCAGGTATTAGTTAGTATAGTGAGATAAATAATCTAGTGATTTTTTGGTGTGTTGCTCCAGGTATTAGTTAGTATAGTGAGATAAATAACCTAGTGATTGTTTGGTATGTATAACCTAGTGATAGTAGTTAGCATACCTGGAGTTAGATTAGCCTGTTTGTTAAGATACCCCTAATCACATATTGATGTTTGGTAGTTGTTTAAATTTTTTAAATTCGGATCATTCATTAACCTTTCCTGGGACCATGTAAGGTCCCACACAAAATGTGGGCCCGAATGTTTCAGCCGTAACTTGACTTTCATATGATAATAATAGGTCATTCTTCACGTTATATACGGCTGGCGGAGAATATTTTGTCTAATCTAGCGTGTTCTAATATCTTAAGGTTATGGAAGCCCTTTTTATCTATTAATCATATTTATAATGTCTCAGTTCCCGTCTACGAGATGTTTCCGTGACCTGGAGACTAAACCCATCCTCAGAGTATATTCAGATTCAGGTTAAACTTTCATATGATTGAGGCTAAAACCATATATTCTAGTTAATATATATTTATAACTAAAAGTGGTAATCTCTGATTGTTTGTCTATTTGTTTGTCCGATCTAACTCGATTATGAGCCTTTTGACCGATTTGCCTCACATTTTTATTGAAGGAACTTGGTAGACCCAAGGGAATGTTCTTAGCTTGGTTTAAAATTCTAAGTTGAGTGGGTTGACTTTTTTGGTGGACATTTTTGTTTCCAGACAAAACTGGGTTCTCAACCTAGTCTTTCATATAAAGTAACCGAAAATTCAGGTTTTTCTTTCATGGAGTATAAAAGTACAAATTCAGGCTCATCTTTCTTGTAAAGATAGAACCACGGAATCAGGTGCATCTTTTATTTGGGTAGAACCACAGCTTCAGGTTCATCTTAGATAAGGGTAGAACCATAGTTTCAGGTTCATCTTAGATAAGCGTAGAACCATAGTTTCAGGTTCATCTTAGATAAGAGTAGAACCATAGTTTCAGGTTAATCTTAGATAAGAGTATAACCATAGTTTCAGGTTCATCCTTCATATGGGTAGAACCCCGAATTCAGGCTCATTTTTCATATAAGAATAGAACCACAGATTCAGGTTCATCTTTCATAAGTGTAGAACCACAAATTCAGGCTCATTTTTCATATAAAAATAGAACCACAGATTCAGGTTCATCTTTCATAGCCCCAAATTCAGGATCATTTTTCATATAAAGATAGAACCACAGATGCAGGTTCATCTTTCATCAGGGTAGAACCCCAAATTCAGGCTCATTTTTCATATAAAAATAAAACCCCAGATTCAGGTTCATCTTTCATAAGGATAGAACCACAAATTCAGGCTCAATTTTAATATTAAGATAGAACCACAAATTCACGTTCATCTTTCATAAGGTTAGAACCCCAAATTCAGGCTCATTTTCAATATAAAAGATAGAACTACAGATTTAGGAGTATCTTTCATGAAGGCATTGAACCATAGTTTCAGGTTCATTTTTTAAATAAGATAGAACCACAGATTCATGTTCATCTTTCAATTATAAAGATAGGACCACAGATTCATGTTCATCTTTCATATCAAGATAGAACCATAGATTCAGGTTCATCTTTCATATGTAAAGATAGGACCACAGATTCAGGTTCATCTTTCATTTATAAAGATAGAACCATAGATTCAGGTTCATCTGTCATATAAAGATAGAACCACAGATTCAGGTTCATCTTTCATATAAAGATTTAACCACAGATTCAGGTTCATCTTTCATTTATAAAGATAGGACCACAGATTCAGGTTCATCTGTCATATAAAGATAGAACCATAGATTCATATTTCATATGAGCATTAATTATAGAAGTACAGATTTAGGTTCGTCTAAATTACTATGAAAAATCAAAATTGATTTAGGAAGCTGAATATCGATCTTACAGCGGAGACTTTCTGAATATAACAGCCCTAGCAGATATATCTTGTACTCAGACTCCTATATTTACCCCTACTCAGGTATATAAAGGTGTATAGAGTCCATATCTACCCCTATTCGGGTATATAAAGGTATAAAGACTTCCATTGTTACCCCTACTCAGGTATATAAATATAAAGGTATACAGAGTCCTATATTTACCTATACTCAGGTATGCACAATTGCACATTGCACCCATATACAACGATATATAAAGGTATATAGAGTCCTATGCTTACCTACACTCAGGTATATAAAGGTACACAGAGTCCTATATGTACCTATACTCAGGTAAATAAAGGTATGAATAGTCCTACATGTACCTATACTCAGGTATATAAAGGTATACAAAGTTCTATATTTTCCTATACTCAGGTATATAAAGGTATACAGAGTCCTATATTTACCTCTACTCAGGTATATAAAGGTATACAGAGTCCTATATGTACCTATACTCAAGTATATAAAGGTATGCAGAGTCCAATATGTACCTATACTCAGGTATATAAAGATATACAGAGTCCTATATGTAACTATACTCAGGTATATAAAGGTATGCAGAGTCCTAAATGTACTTATACTCAGGTATATAAATGTATACAGAGTCCTATATGTACCTATACTCAGGTATATAAAGGTATGCAGAGTCCTAAATGTACTTATACTCAGGTATATAAATGTATACAGAGTCCTATATGTACCTATACTCAGGTATATAAAGGTATACATAGTCCTATATGTACCTATACTCAGGTATATAAAGGTATACATAGTCCTATATTTACCTATACTCAGGTATATAAAGGTATACAAAGTCCTATATTTATCTATACTCAGGTATATAAAGGTATACAGAGTCCTATATTTAGCCCTACTCAGGTATATAAAGGTATACAGAGTCCTATATTTATCTATACTCAGGTATATAAAGATATACAGAGTCCTATATGTACCTATACTCAGGTATATAAAGGTATACAGAGTCCTATATGTACCTATACTCAGGTATATAAAGGTATACAGAGTCCTATTTATCCAAACTAAGGTAACAGAGTCTAATACAATTTAATCTAAAACAATTGAATATATAAGAAGTAAAGAGCAACCTTTTTATCTTAGGTAGAGATTATCTATGAAATCTCGGAGGGTTCTGTTCTGTTAACTCAAGAAAGGTTTAAAATCAAGGTACTATAGTTTTAAATTCGTTTGCCATAAACTCTAAGGATTATACCATCAGGTTGTAAATATATGGGGATGAGTAAGTTCCTTTTTATCCATAAAACAATAAATAAATCATTTTTCCAGGTTGGATCTTACAGAAACCTTATCATTATCATTTCCTCCTGCGTTGGTGGCATTGCAGTACTTATTCTCGCTCTTAGGAATAGTTTAACATGGATTATAGATCTTAAACACTCACACCTAAATTATTGTTTGTGTAGATCCATAAAAAAAATCTACTTTAGTGATTTCGTTGAAAATTCGTTTTTTAAACGGCCGAGATATTCATATTAAAATCACCCAAAAAATTAGATCATATTCTGTGTAAAATCCGGGATTTATCAATTAAAGAAAGGAAATCTTATTACTGAATATTCATTAATAAAACTTTAGTACCATTATCTGTATTCGAAGAAGAAGACTGAGATCTGAGGTGAAATTTTATAGTTTTTAATTATTCTGCTTACATTGTGGACATTCTTGAACTATTCATACCACTCTACTTATCCTAACATTATTATTATGCTTGCGTTTTCTCTGCTTCCTACCTTTGCATATTATATTTTTTAATTAATGTCATCCAGAAATATAATTAAGGTCATATTTCTTTTTAACACATTTTTCCTTTCTTCCAAAGAACTCAAAGTTTGTCTTTTTCAAACGCTTTTTATCTTTCCAGTTTAAATCTTTTTTCCTTTCCTATTTTATTTATATTTAATTTTAGTTTTTTTCCTGTTCGATTACCTGAAATTAAGTTTTGTTTCTTCTTCTTTAATCCTTTTTATATTTATAAAATTAGAATAAACAAAAATATTTGTTTCTCAGTTTCCTCCAGATTCTCCTGTAGTGTTTCCTAACCTGGAGGAGGAGGAGCATGAACCTGCGTCCTGGACGGATGTAGATCTTAGAGCTGAGATATTTCCTCCAGTAAACAGCATGGTACAGAATGGGTTCAGAAACCAGGGTTTTATTTCTCCGGACGAGGATTATACTGATAGTCTTGTACACAGCAATAACTCCTTGGTCAACCAAAACTTCAGGGGAATAAATGCTAGTTTAGGGATTAATAAATATTTACGCTGAAAACAGAAATAGTCTTGAAATACCTTTCCTTGTTTCAGAAAAATATTTTCAGGTTTATGCTTACCCACCGCCCCCCCCCCCCTAAAGTCCCACAACACAATCGCAAATTTGAAAAACGGACCCAAATGAGATTTTTTTGAGTGGGATTTGAGGATTTAATGTTTTGTTGTCTTGTCTACAGATGAACAACAAAACACAGATGGTATTGACGAAACAAAGTTAAAGAACTCCTTCATCATCTCTCAAATTCTCACCCAACCACATTCTCTTCGATTCAAAAAAAGAAATATTTTTTTTTGTAAAACTAAGGGCACCTTGTAAGTGATAACATACAGTTTGGCCCGATAAACATGGGAATTCAGTGAAGAATTTTATGTCGTCTTTGTTCCACGCGGCATTATTTCGTGAACAAAATCTTAGTTAGGATTCCTTTCAAAACAATTAACATCGAAAAATACATGTCTTGGGATTTCCAAAATGTAGTCTTCTATTTTAAGGACTTTTAAAATTAATGCTAATTTTGAGAAGTTTACCTACATTTATTTTTAAATTTATTAATTAACAACAAAAATTTTCAGATGTTTTCTTTTTCCGTCAATTTAAAAGATACAAGGAAGGAAGATCGCATTTTGAAAAGCTCATAAGACGTAACATCTATTTATAAACTATTGGAAATCAAAGACGGGTTTCAAGTTGTCTTTCCTTCCAATATTTATTGGGTCACCCTGTATCATTGAATTTTCTAAGCCTTAATAATGTGGTTGGGTTTGGGAAAAGTTATATACCTCTGATTTAATTATTTCATTTTTACTTTCCTGTAACCCCCAGTCTCATAGCGTTTACACCTGAATCTAGTGAGATGCCAATCTCAGATTTTATCTCAAGTTACTCCGGAGCTGTATCCAACCCTGAACCTGAGTGGAGGGACGCTGAACTAATCCCTCCAATTGGTTTGGCAAGGTGGGTGAATATATCTGATTAAAAATATACAAGGATACAGATGAATAGATTGAAGAGCATATACAAAATGTCGGATATTTTTCCATGAACCTACAGTACATCACAAGCCAATATAGCAGATACTTTTTAAAGATATTAAAAAATGATTAACAACATAAGCTTAATTCTTAATAGATATTTGAAAATGAAATTTGGAAGTTTTCTTAGAATTTATATTCTTGAAGTGTCTCAACCTTTGTAAACCTAACAATGTGTAACCTTTTAATTTCACTAAACCTTTATATTTAAATATTGCAAGAATGAAGTGGTGTTATTACGATATTACCCCTAGAAGAAAACTTTTAGATTGGGAAATCTCCAAAAGATAAATAAGATATGTTTTTAAGAACTTTGCTTGAAAACTTATATTAAACTGTCTAGCAACGGGAATAGGAATCCACTGAGCACATTATGAAAATAGTTTAGATAAAAAAGTTTTTATTAGGGTTCTAGTCGGTGGATCCGCTGATCTAGGTGCTAGTCAACTCAGGGTTAAAGACGGAGATATTCTCCAGGTTATAGGTTAGTAAACTTACAGTTTTGTGTATTTTTTTCATCTCTGGAATCGTTTAGATATTTCTTTCTATAAATTAGAATCTTTTTATCAAAAATCTATGACTACTACTGCTGTATTTAAGTATGTAAACAATCCATCAATAAAGAAATTAATGCAATTTTCGATAAACAAAAAAATATTTTAAATGTTTATATGTAAGTGTACAATTCCTTTAAAGGGACTATGAGTGTTAATTCTAGTGACTCTCCATGCAAAGATGACAATGCCCGATTCACAACGATACCTTTAAAATCATTGTCTGATAAAGTATGAATTTGATTTCAAGGTTTAAATTTGAAAAATTGGTAGTGACTGGCGCATTTCTACTGCAGAAAAGAATAAAGGAATTATTAGAATTTAACACTTTTATACCTAGAAAAGCGACAATGTCTTCGACATTATTAATCAGAGAAAGGTGTCAAGGGTATCGTTGTGAAATGGGCATTGCCATCTTGGCATGAAGAATAAATGACGCCTACAGTCCCTTTAAGTACGTTAATTTAGGATTAGATCTGGGCTCTGGATATACAGCCGTCCGAGATTCTAACAGAAATACAGGATTCATTCCAACCTCATCCATAGAGATTCATTCATGATACCATTCATTCCAACTTCATCCATAGAGATTTATACATGATACCATTCATTCCAACTTCATCAATAGAGATTTATACATGATACATTCATTCCAACCTCATCCATGGAGATTCATTCATGATACCATTCATTCCAACTTCATCCATAGAGATTTATACATGATAACATTCATTCCAACTTCATCCATAGAGATTTATACATGATACCATTCATTCCAACCTCATCCATGGAGATTCATTCCAACCTCATCCACAGAGATTTATTCATGATACCATTCATTCCAACCTCATCCATAGAGATTCATACATGATACCATTAATTCCAACTTCTTCCATAGAGATTCATTCCAACCTCATCCATAGAGATTCATACATGATACCATTCATTTCAACTTCATCCATAGAGATTCATTCCAACCACATCCGTAGAGATTCAAACATGATACCATTCATTCAAACTTCATCCATAGAGATTTATTCCAATCTCATTCATAGAAATTCATTCTTGATACGATTCATTTCAACCTCATTCATAGAGATTCAATCATGATACCTTACATACCATCCTCATCCATAGATATTCATTCATACTATACTGTATCCATTGAGATTCATTCATGATACCATTCATTCTATACTGACATCCATGGAGATTCATTCATGATACGATTCATTCCATCCTGGTTTGTAAAGATTTATTCATGATACTATTCATCCTAACCTCATCCAGAAAGATTCATTCGTGATACGATTCATTCAAAACTCTGCCATACAGATTCATTCGTAATACTGTGTATCTGTCTAAATTCATAATGAAATTATCATATTTAATGCTCAAATAATATTTGTACTAGTTATTTATAGTAAAATATATATCAAATCTATATAATAAAACGAGACTTTCGTTTTTATATATGTTGCGTAAAGCCGGCCAAACGGCTGGACCGATTGGTCTAAATTTTTTGTGGACACTCATGGGTGTGTAAAAGGATTATAAAAATTCGAAATTTTGTTTTAAAATTTTTTTTCCACTGGCAACGTCGGGCCCTTCAGCTTCAGTTAATGAAAATAAAAATTCTTTTATTAAAACTATAAAAAAATAAACTCATGGTTTGTAAACATTAAAGGTGAATACTAAATAAACCTTGATTATCAATTGCCTAAAAACACATCGTTATATATCCAAGGTATGTAGACTACATACCTTGGTTATATCTACGTCTGTATATACGTACATACATGATTTGTCCGTTTGTTTGGGTTTACAATAAAAGTCTTGTGAATTCTCACATGACTCCAGTCCGGTCAGAGTTGATAGTTTCGCCTCAAAATGATTTTAGAAAATCCACCAAGAAAACAGAAATATCCATGATATTACATAGTGTTTTTTTTACAATGCTTCGTATACAACGGCCTTCAAAGCAGTTGCACAAAATCATGACAAAAGTTTCAAAATTAATTTGAATTGTGAGTTTTTTATATGTTGGACGTAATGTGTTTTATGTTCAAAGTTTTGCAACAGTATTTAATTTAATATATAAATCATAATTATATATATTATAAGAAGTTAGAAAGCCTAGAAGTATCCCCAGTTGGTAAAACCTACCTGGAGAAGGAACTATTCTCCACAGTGGTTAATGTACTACCTGGAGACAGTATCCCCAGTACGTTTCTATACCTGGATGAGAGCTGGTTCTAATCAAACAAACTGTCGTTTAAACAAAACATACATAGTTCTTAGATTGTAATTTCTATTTCAAAAAAAGTAAACTTAATTTAACCTTTCATTTAAGTTTTTTTATTTTGAAAGGGGGGGGGGGCATAAAATATATGGGACGAAATTTAAATAAATGTGGGTTTTCTAATGAAAAATTGTATTGTTATAAAAATAAAAGTAAAAAAATTTACTGTTGTGAATCCTTAATCGTAGCTCTTCTAGTTTTGATTTTATGAAATATAAAAACAGTAAATTTTGAATTTATACAGCAACATATTAGGAATTCAAAACATTTCTTTTCTTCTTGATAGCTCTTCAATAAGAGGAGTTAGGATTGAAAACATATATCAGATTTCAATCATTATACGTGCAATTTATTTTAGTTTCACGTGTTTCAGTTCAATAAAAAAAAGACAATCAAAATGCCATCATTACACCCTGGATCCCTAGGAAACCATCCTATACAGATTCCTCCAGATTTCCCACCAATCCTTAAAGCATATACCAAGGTGAGGTCTTGTATGTACAATCTATATGTACGACCACAAAACTACACTAGAACTGGAAAGGAATGGAGTCTTTGCCAAAAACTTTAATTTTATTATTCCTATATTTTTGCAGCCTGATGGTGTAAACCGTTGATAATTTAAACTTAGATTATTTGATCTACCAGAATTTATAGTTTAAGTATACAAGTTCTCCGACATTGGGTTGCAAAGATAATGGATTAGAAAATCAGAGTTTGTGTAAAAGACTCAATTCCTCTGAGAGCGTATCGTTAAACGAAACTCCCTAGTTTAATTTTTGGGGTCTATACATTTGCGTAGATTTGGATTTAAGAAAATAAAAAGAGAATGTAAAGAAACCACTTCAACTAATATTTCTTAACAAAAATATTGGCATCTACAAAACTGCCTGACCCCATTCATGAACCCAGGTTTCCAATAATGGTTTCATTGCGATACTATGTCTTAAGTTTCGGGCTCAGGAACTTTCAAAAAATAAAATGTACTGCAAGTTCTGGGAGAAACGTAAACACAAGCGGTGCTGCCCAGGCTAATTCTAAGCTTTGTTTACATTCCTCCTAAAACTGCAGTACATATTATTTGTTAGTAGTTTCTAATGCTCTGATATTCCTTGGGCAAAACATGGCTTTAGTGGAAGAGGTTATTTTTTATTTATTCCAAAGAGTAGAGTATTTTATAAAGGGTTTACCTGGTGGTACGACTATAGACATTTATTCTATTCAAATCGTAAGTTGTGAATTATAAAATTAAAATTAGGGCATCAAGTTATTGCGCTGCTATTTTTTTGTTAAGCGCCGAGTAGCGAGTCGACCATTTTGCACATAAAGACGATTATAAAAACAATGTTTTAATACATTTTTTATTGAAAGAAAACCTCTCTTGAATATTATTATATAAACAAGAATGAATTCAGGTTAACTCTGTAAAGTACAGAATACTATTTGTCAATAATAGACTAGATAAATCTGGTTAAACTAGAACAGATTGTTCCTACCAGAAAACATTCAGTTTTGTTTTCAAATCAAACCAAATTCTTTCTGTTCGTTAGAGGACTTAATACATTCAATTATTTCTGTTTGTTAATGGACTTAATACATTCAATTCTTTCTGTTTATTAACGGACTTAATACATTTAATTCTTTCTGTTCGTTAAAAAATTAAAAATTTTCTGTTAGATAACGAACTTATTACATCAAGCTCCTTCAGTTTGTTAGTGGGCTTAATACATTTAATCTGTTCGTGAACGAATTTATTACATTGAATTCTTTCTTTTTGTTAACGGGCTTAATAAATTCATTTTTCTGTTTATTAATGGCCTTAATACATTTAATTCTTCTTTTTCATTAACGGACTTAATACATTTAATATTTCTGTTCGTTAATGCACTTAATACATTCAATGCTTTCTGTTCGTTAACGAGGGAGGGAGTCCAGAGTTCCTCAAATAGTAATCACCGCCACCCAAATCTGTTTTGCGGCAAGTGCGCTCCTCAATTAGTAATCACCGTAAAATTTTGTCTTCTGTGATTTGAATTTAATTCACTTTTAACACAATTTTCGACATCTATCGGGGTTTTATGGCATCTGCATTGACTTAAACTAAATTTTCAAATTATTTTCAGATTTGTTTGGTCAACAAAAACTGAGAATCAAGGCACAGTTCATTTTAGCCGAATCTTAGATCCAATTCGCCACTTTAATGACTGCATTTCATGATTGGCGTCAAGATACAAAAAAGGTCGGGCTGCCTGTTTACTAAAAATTATCTCATCGCGCCCAAAGTAATATCAATCTCCATTTAAAAGATATTTTCAAAAAACCTTTACAGTGTTTAGATTTTTGTATTAGCCAACTCGAGTTCAACATTTACAACAAAACTAATTATATGCATAGAAAGGACTTAAAATTTACTAAAAATTATATATTCGCGCCCAAAGTAATATCAATCTCCATTTAAAAGATATTTTCAAAAAACCTTGACAGTGTTTAGATTTTTGTATTCGCCTACTCGAGTTCAACATCTACAACAAAACTAATTATATGCATAGAAAGAACATAAGATTTTGAAAAATTAGTCTCATCACACCAACTACTGAAAATGAAGTATTTAGTCCACTAATAATGGGTTAAAGTTTCCTCTCTATATAAGGAGTTTAAAACAACATTCAGAGGAAAATGCCGCAAACATTCTTAAAGCGAAACTTGAAACTAAAATACGTAATATATTTCTAGCACTTAGTGTAGCATGTTTATTGATTTATTTTCGAAACTAAGGAGCAATAAAGAAAGCTTTAACAATATTGTACACATAGGGCCATTAAAAGAGGTCAATATGGTCTTATTTCTATGAAATAAACGATTTAATTTTATGCTTTTTTGGGCTGATTACTATTTGAGGTGGTGGAGATTACCAATTGAGGAGCGCGCTTGCCGCAAAACAGATTTGGGTGGCGGTGATTACTATTTGAGGAACTCTGGACTCCCTCCCTCCGTTAACGGACTATAACATTCAATTCTTTCTGTTTGTTAACGGACTATAATACATTCAATTCTTTCTGTTCGTTAATCGACTTGATAAATTCATTTTTTTCTGTTTGTTTATCAATTCTTCTTTTCATTAATGGACTTAACACATTCAATTCTTTTTGTTCGTTAATGGACTTAATACATTCAATTCTTTTTGTTCGTTAAGGGACTTAATATATTCAATTCTTTCTGTTCGTTAACGGACATAAAACCTTCAATTCTTTCTCTTTGTTAACACACTTAAAACCTTCGATTCTTTTTCTTTGATAAAGGATTTTTTGTTGATTTCCAACGGAGTTTTGATCATCTCTACGTCATAAATAAAAACTTTTTTGGCTTTCATTTAAAAAAAAAACTTTTGGCATTTCAAAATGTCAGTCCCAGGCAAAAATATAATATGGCTGATACAAAAAAACGTTTGACAAATTCTACAGAATAATCTTTTCATACATCACATACATTATAATATAAACATCACACACATCCCGGAGCAGAATTTACATAATCCTTGTCCATAGATTAATCTAGAGCACGGTAAACTTTTAAGTGTTTAGGCAGCGATTAGAACTCAACCGAGGGACCTTCTATTTAGTATCCTGTTCCTAACACTCAGTCAGGTTGGTTATATTTAGTATCCTGTTCCTAACACTCAGTCAGGCTGGTTATATTTAGTTTTTGTTTATAACAATAATCACTTTTGATGCATTTTTAAAAGGCTTTCCTAATTAGCCTTAGAAAATTCTGGTAGATAGTTCTATTCCATATATCCATCCAGCCTTGACTTTATAAGTAATATAAAAACTACGATAAGTATGAGTTCTATTCATTAAAAGCATTGGTTACATAATCTTTACAATTTTTTTGCTTCCTGTCAGAGTCCACAAAGCTCTCCAAACTAGGATATTAGAGAGGAAATGCTCCAGGCTTGGCGTAGCTATATATTTCTCCAGTAGGGTCTAGACATATGTACAGTTTTACTGTCAGAATCTAGGATCTAGAGAATATGGAGAATGGATCAAAACGGTTGTGAAAGGAATTGAGTCTTTTCCATAAACTCAAATTTTCTAATCCATTTAACTTTGAAACCTGTTGCTGCAAACCTTTGATATTTCAGACTTAGATCTTTTGATCTAAAAGAATTCATAGTTTTCAATGTCTAAGGTACACGACATAGGGTTGCAAAGATATAGGGAGTAGAAAGCAAAGAGTGTGTGTCAAAGACTCAATTCCTTTATAAAATATAGATTAAAATAAAAATATACTTTTTTTGTTTGCAGAAGACCAACAAAGGAATTGAGTTTTTGCCACAAATTCAGATTTTCTAATTATTATAACTTAGCAACCCGTTTTCCTGGACCTTTGATATTTCAAACTATTAATTCTGGTAGATCAAATAGTCTATATTTGAAATATCAAAAGTTTACACCATCAGTTTGCAAAGATATAGGGGTTAGAAAATTTAAATTTGTTGCAAAAACTCAATTCCTTTGTTGTATCTTTAAAAAAATCTACAGAAAAATGCAACCATACAAGAGAAAATACAAACCTCTAACTCCAACCGAACTTGCATCCCCTTTCTCCAGTCCATCTTAACACAGAGGAGATCCTGGAGTTCTTCATTGAGTTTGGCAATCTTTTCAAGAGGAATCTCGGTAAGATCTATGAGAGCTCCGCATGAGCACGGTATCTCGGTTTCTAATCTTCTCCGAGCCTGGATACTGCCACAGATACTGCACTTTACCCGGCTCAAACCACTATAGAACTAACGTTATACAGATCTCAAAACATAATCAAACCTAGAACTAGGGAGGGAACAGAGCTGAGCTTGTATACAGTTACAAGACCGCTTCTGAAACATGCAATACAGATTGTAATAAAGATTTAGTACAATACATCCAATTCTGCACTCCTGCAAAATTGTAACAACAGATATTATTGCTGAAATCTCTTCTCATCTATTTTCAAATAGTTTCACCAATTATCATAATTTCAAATGTATTGCTTGATACGGAAGAATTGAGTTTTAATCCGCTTAAAACAAGTTTCTTGAAAAGGAAATGAGTTTTAGCCACAAATTCAAATGTTCTAATCCCTATATATTTGTAACCCAATGGTGTAAACCTGTGATATTTCAAACAACAACTATTTGATCAAACAGATTTCATAGTTTGAAATATCTAAGATCTACGACATCGGGTCACAAAGATATAAGGGTTAGAAAATCAGAGTTTGTGACAAAAACTCAATTCCTTTAAGATTTTGACCTGAGTTGAGCTTTAGCAAGTAATTCCGATACAGGCCAGGATTCTTTACAGGGTAAACAGGAGCAGGTGAACCTAGGAATGATACAAGGGTAAACAGGAGCAGGTGAACCTAGGAATGATACAAGGGTAAACAGGAGCAGGTGAACCTAGGAATGATACAAGGGTAAACAGGAGAAGGTGAGCCTAGGAATGATACAAGGGTATATTAGTGTCCAATATCCTGTTATTAGTATCCAGTATCCAGTATCCTGTATATTAGAATCTAGTATCTAGTATCCAATATCCTGTTATTAGTATCCAGTATCCAGTATCCTGTATATTAGTATCCATTATCCAGTATCCTTTATATTAGTATCCAGTATCCTTTATATTAGTATTCAGTATCCAGTATCCTGTATATTAGTATCCAGTATCCAGTATCCTGTATATTAGTATCCAGTATCCAGTATCCTGTATATTAGAATCTAGTATCTAGTATCCAATATCCTGTTATTAGTATCCAGTATCCAGTATCCTGTATATTAGTATCCATTATCCAGTATCCTTTATATTAGTATCCAGTATCCTTTATATTAGTATTCAGTATCCAGTATCCTGTACATTAGTATCCAGTATCCAGTATCCTGTATATTAGTATCCAGTATCCAGTATCCTGTATATTAGAATCTATTATCTAGTATCCAATATCCTGTTATTAGTATCCCGTTTCTAGTATCCTGTATATTAGTTTTCAGTATCCAGTATCCTTTATATTAGTATTCAGTATCCAGTATCCTGTATATTAGTATCCAGTATCCAGTATCCTGTATATTAGTATCCAGTATCCAGTATCCTGTATATTAGTATCCATTATCCAGTATCCTTTATATTAGTATCCAGTATCCTTTATATTAGTATTCAGTATCCAGTATCCTGTACATTAGTATCCAGTATCCAGTATCCTGTATATTAGTATCCAGTATCCAGTATCCTGTATATTAGAATCTATTATCTAGTATCCAATATCCTGTTATTAGTATCCCGTATCTAGTATCCTGTATATTAGTATCCAGTATCCAGTATCCAGTATCCTGTATCCTGTATATTAGTATCCAGTATCCAGTATCAAGTATTCAGTATCCTGTATATTAGTATCCAGTATCCTGTATATTAGTATCCAGTATCCAGTATCCAGTATCCATGTACCTGTAAAACTTGATTAGAATGCGTTGTCTCTCCTCCCATGGTTTAGAATACCAGGGTAAACCGTAGCAATCATATATCTTCTCTCCAGCTCTTATACTCCGACACGAGACACTTACCATACGCTTACCCTGGTTAAACCTAGTTATTATTATTATTATTATTATTATCATCATTATTATAATTATTATTATTATTATTATTATTATTATTATTATTATTATTGTTATTATTATTGTTATTATTATTTTGACCTCATTATATTTGGATCACATGAATGGTTAAAAAGTGCAGCTGTACAGTAGAGCCCGCCTCCAATAGGTTTCATTTCACAAGAATTATGTTGTTGGTATCGCCAAAAGTTTTAGCTGGACATAAATTTTAGTTTTACATTCTAAAAATTTTTACCGGGGGTTTTTAATTCAAAATGAATTAAAGAATTCCTGCCTAACCTGCAAAATATCAATCTCATGAGTATTTGGTGGAAATGAGTTTAATATCTCGTAAACCACTCCTGCAATATAATAGGCTTCGTCCTCATTCTCAATACTCTCTCCGAACCTAGTTCTTCGGAGACAGGTTGCTATGAGAGCTGAGATCAAGGTCCGGAGAATAATCTCATCCCTGTCCAGACACTCAGTATGCTTCACTAAACTCAGTCCTGCAATACTATATTTATTTCTTGGGGGGAATTTTAAATTGTTTTCTTATTGAATGGAAAACAAACATTATTTCGCAAGTTTCCCCGCAGTTTTGCTTTCATTAAACTTAAGGCATTTTTTGAGTTAAAAAATTACACACTTTTAAAATTTTAACTTTACTTATTCTAATTTTACAATATTCTTAATCTTTTCTTACTATATACAGGGTTGCCCACAAAGAATGAGACTTCAGAGATGACTGATTTTTTACGGTCTGTATTTAATTATTTACAGTTTTTATATTTTATTTGTAAACTATCAAGTGTATATATACACTTCACACTCTACCCAGAACTACCAACCTACCCACTAACCAATCTTGATCCTACCCACCATCTATACTAATCCTGCCTCTCAGCCCTTCATGATCCTACCAAATACTTTACTTTTTTTCCCCACTCAACCTTCTTGATCCTATACCTTCCTACCCACCCATCTTTATCTTACCCTTCCAACATTCTACATCTACCCATCTATTTTTCTTGATTCTTTTCCTATGCCTACCTACCCCCTTCTTGATCCTACCTATACTTACCCCCTTCTTGGTACTAACTTTCCAACCTTCTTGATCCTATCCATCTACTCTACAATCCTTTCCACCCATCCTTCTTGATCCTACCTATAACCTATCCCCTTCTTGAACTTAACCACCCACCCATCTTAAGCTTACCGACCCACCCATCTTGATCCTACCCATCTACTTTCCTAGATCATTCCCAACTACTATTCTTTATTCTACCTTCCAAGCCTTCCTGATCCTACCCACTTCCTTATCCTACCCGCCTTTCATAATCCTATCTATACCAATCCTTCTTCACCCTACCCACTCCCACTCATGATCTTAGTTTATCTATTTTCCCCACCCCTACTCTATCCTACCAATCTTTTCTCTGTATAGAAACTAGAGTACTGGTGTACCTGCTTTAAAATCTCCTCCATCAAATATTCCTGTTTTCTCTATATCACAAGGAGAGTCAGGAATCTTTCTGCATATTTTCAAGATATCTTCTTTATTATCTAACAAATATTTTCCTCCAGATCTGCAGACAGCCCTACCAATAATATTCACGGATGAAATACATAAAATTTTTAATTCTTATCCCTCTATACCTCTTCAGTTCTCCTACCTGAGAGCTAGGTTGGAGAAACTATTTAACCCGCTAGCAAATAGGATTGTAAGAAAACCACATTCCAGACTGTGGTGATCATCCCAGGCCTTAATAAAACAATAAAATTCTTTCATGCATCCCAAATAATAGTAAGAATTGAATTTACAATTATCATGCTTAGCCTACTTGGAAAAAGACATAATGTACATGTTGATTTTTTTTTACCTGGATATATAATATTCCTGGTTCCTACCTAAATATTATGTACCTGGTTCCTACCTGGATATTATTTACATGGTTTCAACCTGGATATTAGATACCATGGTTCCTACCTGGATATTAGATACCTGGTTTCTACCTGGATATTAGATACCATGGTTCCTACCTGGATATTAGATACCTGGTTTCTACTCGGATATTAGATTCCTGGTTTCTTCCTGGATATTAGATATCTGGTTCGGGGACTTCTTCCTCTACAGAAGTCCCCCTAACTTTCGAGCATAGATGGAGTTGAGAGACTGATACTTATCTCCTTGTAAGTGTTTACGGAAAAGGAGTAGAAGTAGTTTTGGTGATGATTGATCATTTTCTGATCTGCCCCAGCCCCACGTCAAAATCAACCTAGTGGAAGGCTGGCCATTGGCCATTTGAAGAGATCAGTTGTAGTAAGAGCTATTCGGGCATATATTCAACCTGTAGAGAACTGGCGTCCAGAATATCTACGAGTAGGTTAAAGACAGTAGCTGAGTTGCTTGATAGCTCCATAAGTAGCTGTTTAGCTGATTAGCTCCGGGAGTAGCTGTGTAACTAATTAGCTCCAGGAGTAGCTGATAGTTTCTGGAGGTTTAAAATTCGGTGATGGTGATGGACCAAACCTCTGTAGAGTAAAAAATTAGATGTTAGTTTCACATTTATTGAAAATATATTTCGGTCTGGGTTGACCCTCGTCAGTTCTTGAGATTGTTTCTGTAACAAAGGTTAAAAACAAACTGAGTTTCTGGAGGGTTGAAGTTTATCTTATTAGCTCCAGGAGTAGCTGAGGTTTCGCTTATTAGCTCCAGGAGTAGCCGAGGTTTAGCTTATTAGCTCCAGGAGTAGCTGAGGTTTAGCTTATTAGCTCCAGGAGTAGCTGAGGTTCAGCTTATTAAATAACGAGTGTAATAAAGGAGAAGGAGTTGAGTTGGTCTTCTCTGGTTCCTGGATCAGAGGAAACTCCCTCTACAATACCTGGTTTATACATGGATATTGGATTCCTGGTTTATACTCGGATATTGGTTACCTGGTTTCTACCTGGATATTAGATACCTGGTTTCCTGGATATTAGATACCTGGTTTCTACCTGGATATTAGATACCTGGTTTCTACCTGGATATTATGTACCTGGTTTCTACCTGGATATTATGTGCCTGGTTTCTACCTGGATATTAGATACCTGGTTTCTACCTAGATATTAGATACCTGGTTTCTACCTGGATATTAGATTCCTGGTTTCTACCTGGATAAAAGATACCTGGTTTCTACCTGGATATTAGATACCTGGTTTCTACCTGGATATTAGATACCTGGTTTCTACCTGGATATTAGATACCTGGTTTCTACCTGGATATTATGTACCTGGTTTTTACACTGAATTGAGCAGTAGCTGACATGAACACAGTTGTTGCATGGAACTAGAACCAGGATACAACCTAGACACATACTACAGGTTGTTCCAACTCTAGCGTTCTCCACAACCCAGGTCATTGGCAGCTCACTAAACACCAGGAGTATAAAGACTAATATTAACTGAATTCTAGTTGTGTTTGTTACCTGAGGATAACTGTACCCGGAGGAATATCTTGAGTAGCAACTACATACCGTCCTTGCTCCGGGGAGCTGGTTACTGTCACAGAGCTAGATAGAGCAGGATACTGAATGTTAGGACTCGATATCTTCAACAGTTCATTTCTAAAATATTTTAAAATAAAATAATATTCTAACATCTATACATCAGACAAAATAGAGATTATATTTTGTCAACAGTTTTGACGAATATTGTAATTTTGCTTTCAGCTCTTGAACTTGTATTCAGGATAACCGAAGAGTGCAAAGATAGACTAGGCTTCTTTTACTTCTTTAATTTACATAATTTTTTTTTTTACAATTTATACAAAAGGAAATGAGTCATTGCCATAAACTCAGATTTTCTAATCCTTATATCTTTGCAACCCATTAGCCTTAGATATTTAAATTATGAATTATGTTGGATCAAATAAACTAAGTTTAAAATATCAAAGATTGCTAAGATGCATGGGATTCGAAAATGTGAGTTTGTTGGAAAAGACATAATTTCTTTGGAATCAGAAATTGTCATGCATGAAAAGTTGTCTAGTTGTCTAGTTGTCTAGTTGTCTAGTTGTCTAGTTGGAATATTAATGACAACTTTTGCCCCACCCCGCTCAATAGATAAAGTAATCTTATTTCAGGCTTTGGTTTCATTTTCATGAAAGAACACTAAAATGATACTTTCCGGATATTTGGCTTGGCTTCCTTAGCTTTGTCTGTCCAAGTTTTCTTTTCTCCGGATCCAAACGGAGCACTCAGAGATTCTCTCATCTTACCTCGAAATTTATCCTTCGCTCCTTGACTGAAGAAAAAGTGTCTGTACAACGTATATTTATCTATCTATATATATTCAAAAATATAATTCTAAAATGTGTATCACAAATATCTAGACAACTATACCTAAGTTATTTATTAGATTTTTAGATCAAAAGTGGCAACGACTTGGGATTTGGATTTAATTCAACAAGTTGATCGCTTATATTTTTTCATCTTTGGACATGTTCATTTCTAGATTTAATTTAAAAGTTATTGGCAAAATCCTTCAGATTTTTGCTTTTGCTTTGAAGCTTGCGTATTTTGGTTTTCAGAGATTCTTTATGAATGTTTTGTATACCTCAGAGAACTTGAATCCAATAGTTTATTTGCCTTCTCAAACTCCTCCTTGGCCTCAGTCTTTCTTCCAAGCTTAATTAGACATTGAGCTCGTCTTTCCTGAAACATAAATCTAATAGAATTTTTATCCGAATAAACTTTATTTTTCAAAAAAGGTTTAATTTTAATCTACCAGTATTTTATACAACTTATCCTGTGGATATCCGGCCTTCTCAGCTAGTATTGTATCCTCTAAACTTCTCTCCTGATATCCCAGGAGCTGAAGACAGGCAGAACGGTTTGCTAAAGCTAGGCTGTAGTCAACCTGGTTTATCGGAGCGAAGATTATAGCAGACGAGAACTTAATCAAAGCACTGTTATACTTCCCTGCAGCATACAGTGCATTTCCTTCCTCACGGAGCTCTATAGATTTCTCCAGGTTCTTCCCCCCAGACACCTGAATAGGATAGGAGTAAGGTTTATCAATCGTCAAGGTGTTAGAAGAAAAAGATCAATAATTAAACCTTAATTTTTTTCAATGTCTCAATGATGAACGGATGCTCACAAATCTTCTGAGCTCTGAGTTCAGTGCTTTCCAACCCAACCAGTTCATTCTTCTCCTCCTCACTAGAATAATACAAGGGGTTACAATAAGAGTTCTAGATAATATTCGAAAAAGTTTTCGTTTTTAATTTATTCACAAACAAATAGTTAGGTTGTTATCCCCCCCCCCATACTTTTTGGTCCTCCCGGTTTATAACAGGACACGACGAGATCTGTTCTATTTCAATTTGTTTTATATTGCCATTTGCTCTATTTTCATTTGCGTTATTAACCATTCTATAACTCATAGGTTATGCCGTTTGCTCTATATGCCATATGCTCTATATGTCATGTGCTCTATAAACATTATTTATGACTGTCTTGGTTCATTTGCTCTATTTAAATTTTGTTCTATGAGTAATCACGTCATTTGCTCTATATATTTGTTATGCCTGTCAAGGGTTATTTGCTCTATTCAGCATTTGATCAATGAGTAAAAACGTCATTTGCTCTATAAACATATTTTACAAATATATTGCTTTGTCTAATACATATAATTACTATTTCTCCTGCAGCTACAAATTAAAACTTCTCATAGTTTCATTATTACATCAACTTCCTGGAGATAGTTTTGTCTGTTATTTGTGCATACCGGGAGACCAAAATAAATATTAGCATTTCTTCGTTCTTTCAGTATAGCTTCCTAGAAGAACCAGGAGCTAGAGGATCTACAGCATTTACCCTAGCATCATGAACTTTTTGATGCACCAGACCTTCTTCTCTTAGAAAACCTCTCCACCATTGTTTGTAAATGGAACCTTCTCTAAAATTGTGGCAAAATTCTCCCTTCTTTATACAAGAAATCTTCAGTACTGATAGCCTCCTTGTTTGTTTAGAGTAGAATAAATGTAGTTTTCGAAACATATCAGATTAGTTTTACCCCTCTCATTATTGAGCAGTCTCGCTGTCATGATGAACTTTGGATAACTGATGTAGAAAATGCCCTACTCCATAATGCCAAATCAAAGAGCACGATTCTCAACCTGTTTATCAAAACAGGGAACCACACAGATACAATCTCGTGATCTATCAATGCCACTACCACTGGGAGTGATCTTGTTAGCTATCAATATCAATCAGAAGCTAATCACTTGGATACAATCTTGTGATCTATCAACGCAACTACCAGTGGGTGCAGTCTCGTTAGCTATCAATATCAATTGGAAGCTTGCAACTGTCAATGCCAAATCAAAGGGCACAATCCTCAACCTGTTTATTAAAACAGGGAACGATTACTCTCTCGCAATAAACAGTTCGGAGTTACCATATAAACAAGTGGTTTATGTGTTACAAAATAAAGTTAATAGACATAATAGCAATTACTACGCCGTTATCTATATCACATAATTAAGACAATCATGTTATGTATTTACAGCACAGTTAAAGTTTAATTTACGTTTTTATAAGATTAGCGAGGATAGATATAACATAGTTAAGCTATCTCCACACATGTTTACAGTGTAGATTAAGTCGCGTGAGGGAGGGGAGATTTAGGTTGAAAGAAATTGTTTTCTGTAATTTATTTATATGTCTTTTTAATATTATTGAAATATTGATTGTGAAAATTAATTATTTTTTAAAATCAACAACTGTACACCCCCTTTTTTAAGATAAACCTGGATCTCAGCACTTACACCCATCAAACATTTTAAGGATTTTATGACCCCCCGCCCTTCCCCCAGCTTCACAAAAAATATACATTTCTCGGCTCAGAAATTATCTAAGCTTATGTCTTCAACCCTAAATTTAAAACATATATAGAGTATATTTTCGTCCGTGAGGAACTTTTTAATATAGAATCGTAATTTTTTACTTTTTTTAACAACCTTTTCTATAAAACACCTCTAAAGTACCCCCCCCCCTCCCGGTTTTCCCTCCCCCCTCCTATCTTCTTGACTAAGAACGGAACGGGAGATGGACATGTTCTTGTCTCAGAACGGAACGGGCGGATGGAACCGTTCTTTGATTAAGAACACCAAGAACGGAACAGAACGAGATAATTGTTCTCAGACTAAGAACGGAACAAGACGAAACGGAACGAGAACGGAACGATTGGAAAAAAGGAACGAGAACAGAACGATCAAGCTGAAGGCCTTTGTTCTGGAATGGAACGGAACGATTTCAAAAACGTTGGAACGTGCCCAGCCCTAATCATATTACATAGCTCATATTTAATATATCTAGGTATGCTAAGGTTAACAAATATGGTGATTGCTGGATTTGCTGCAGTCCTCTTTATTTGCTACACTGATTCAAATTGCAAGATTTAAGAATATGCAAATTTTCCTAAAAAAAACTTCCTGCATTTCATAGTTAAGTTAAGCTCATGAATTCCAATAAAATCTATTTTATAGTTTATTTTTTAAGGTTATAGAGCAAATAAGGAATATAGCAGATGGAATAAAGAGCAAATGACGTGAAAGAGCAAATGGCCATAGAGCAAATGGAAATAGAGCAGATGTCATAGCGCCTTAAAACAGAGACAAACATAAAATTATATATAACCTGTATTTGCCAAACAAATTGTATGTACATAGTTTACCTCAGTTTATCCAAATACGCTAGATAAAGAGCAGGCATAAAGCCGACCCCTTCCCGAGCAAACATGCTCCCCGCTCACCGGTAGAAATGCAACAGGAGCAGATTTACGCTTGTTCCTGGCAGCTAGCCAGCACACCGGTCAATCTGTACATCTTCACATTTTCAAAATATATTCCCTCATTCAAATCCTTCAAATTTTCCCAAGAATTTTCAAGATTCTCTTCTTCATGTCTAGCTCCTTGTATATCTACAACCTTTAGTATTTATTATTCCCCTGTAATCTAGGAGTTATGAACTATCTATCTATCTCTAGAAGATTATCTTGACGTAATTTAGTTGAATAACTGTTTATACCTCTGAAAACATGCAAGTTATGCAGATTATGAGGTGCGCAGAACTTCATATACGTCATTCAAAACAAATCTCTAAATTTTTAAATTAATTTTTTATTATGATTAAATTATACAGTTATAGTTATAGAGATGTTAGATCTAGGTTTATCTCAAGGAATAGAAATGTTAGATTTAGGTTGGACTCCAGGTTTAGAGATGATATATTCAGGTTTAACTCCAGGTTTAGAGATGATATATTTAGATTTGACTCCAGTTTCAAAAATTTTATGTTCAGGTTTCACTCCAAGTTTAGAGGTTTACTAAATATGTTTGACTCCATTTATAGAAATGTTATAATTAGGTTTGTTTTCAGGTTTAGATAAGCCATATTCAGGTTGTTATAATAGGTTTGATTTAAGGTTCAAAGATGTTGTATTTAGGTTTGACTCCAGGTTTGCTTCGTGTACTGCATAGACAACTGGGAGTATCTAAGAAGGTTCCAACGGAAACCTTGTCTGAGAAATGGCGCAGTCTTTGTCTGTCTCAGGTGAATTCTATCAGATGTTTAATTCAGAAAATATATTTTGTCATAAAAGTCAGCTTGGTGATGAATTTTACAAAATCACTGAATTTATAAATCAAAAATAATAAATAAAATCAAGCTACAAAGGATTGAATATCACTTGTCCGACCTTATATTGCATTTAACCCGACAAACAAGAAACAGAACTTAATACAGAAAATAGGTGTTCGCGCTGAGAACGTTCTATCCGTTTGACCTGTCAGTGTAAAGATGATAAATTGCAAACCTTGATAGAGCAAAATTCAAGTAATCGTTCTTTCAGCAAAAAATACATATATGGATTAGAGAGTTAGATTTATTGAGATCTAATCTAAAGTTAAATAAAGGGAAAGATTCTTAAATATCTTCATTTTATTATTCTGAAAAATAAAACAGAGCTTGTCTCTTTGGAAAAGTGACCGAAGACTTTTGAAGGATAAAACGGCATTTTAGAAATATTAGGCACACTTTTGAAGGATAAAACGGCATTTTAGAGAAAAATGATTCATTGACGACCCACCATCCTGTAGAAAAGAAAAAAAACGAACTTGTTTTAGATCGACCTCGACGATATTCTGCTGGACGGAGGCTGGAAAAAGGCTGAGGTTGAATGGCTAAAGTAAGATTTATTTCTGAGCAAACGTCATATTTTCCTTCAAAACAATTTTCTGTAAGAATTCTTTCATTCTTTATAAACAAATATAAAAAACATTTTTAATTTTAAGTAAAGTATATTTCCGAAGATTAGGTGAAATTATATATTATAAAATACAATAATCCTGTCCCCCACATCACGGGATATTTCCTCAGAAGTTTTGAAATTGTGAGGCCAGGATGATGTTTACTGTTTACTGTTTGTGAGATGAGTAGGCCAGATTGAAAAACTCAGCAGCTAAATACATATTTTCAACATATATATATATATATATATTGTCTGTCTGTTTGTTTGTGTCCAAAAACGTAGAAACGGTTGAACCGAACAGGCCCAAAATATTTGAGGCAACTCATATAAAATTTGTCTTAAAAGAAAACAATTTTCGAAAAGCCACGAAAATAATATGATGAAATTCGCGAACTTTTTTATATTGTTTTATATTTTACGAAGTGAAAATGCTCACCAATAGAGTCACAATTCAATGTTGAAATAGAGATGGGTGCGAAGCGCCCGAAAAGCCTATTGATTAAAAAGTGTGAAATTCAAAAAAATTATGAAATTTTTTAATAATTCTTTACAATTTATTTTTTAAATTAGAAATTTTGACAAAATTTCAAAAGTGCAGTGAACTTTCTCAACTTGTGCTTTGTTTTTAGCTGATCTCGAGTTTTCATTTTTCCAGGAATTCAAATTCATCGTTCAATATTCTTACACAGGTTGTAGAAAAAAAATTGTACTGCACTGAGCGGGGTTTGCAAAATAGACAGTACTCCACCTTAATAAGGACAAATGGGATAAGAAAGGTTAGGTTAGGAGTGGATATTTTTGATAAAAGAATTTTGGTTCTTGTAAGTTCATCTGGGACACAGTGCTTCAGAATACGGCCTCGTTTCTGGCAAGTGGGAGGGGGAAGATAACCATAGAGAAACCCCTCCTTCTCTACACTATTATTTTTTTTTCCAAGTTGGGTGTTATTTAAAACAAGGTTCTGTTCAGCCACAAGAAACTGGACAGAGTTGTATAAGAACCTGACTGTTCTGAGCTCCCTTGATTCAATCGAAAGAATTAACGTTATTCCGACAGGTTCAGATACTTAATAACAGCTAACCAGGCTTGTTATTAAGGAGTATATTTAAAGCTGTCCATAGCAAAATCTGGATCCAGCTAGGTAAAAAACTTCCATTCTACAGGTTAATACAGCGTTAAAAGATTAATGCAGGCCTTCAATGTTTCTTGTAGTTCCGTTTATTTCTTTTCCATTTGTGTGCAGGGGTGTATACCCCCCTATACACCCCTGGCTAAAGTTTTTCTAGTTTGCCATTTTCTCCCTCTCACCCTGTATGTCTGAGTACTCTTAGAATCGCCGAGCCAGAGCCATTTGTTGCTCCTCTGAAAGCTAGATGTATACTGAAAATTATGAAGCTTAAATGTCATAAAAGTTTAAGCTTCACCCAGATATTTCTTAGGTTTATTTTTCTCCCTGGATCCTGATACATGCTCAAGTTATGTTTACTCCCCCTGTATCCTGTATTCTCTAGGTTTGTTTGCCCCCCCCCCTGTATCCTGATACATGCTCAAGTTATGTTTACTCCCCCTGTATCCTGTATTCTCTAGGTTTTTTGGTTTAGCCTGCTCTGGTATGGGTGCTAGTATGTTTACTCCTCCTGTATCCTGCATACTCTAGGTTTGTTGGTTTAGCCTGCTCTGGTATGGCTGCTAGTATGTTTACTCCTCCTGTATCCTGTATTCTCTAGATTTGTTGGTTTAGCCTGCTCTGGTATGGCTGGTAGTATGTTGACTACTCCTGTATCCTTTATTCTCTAGGTTTGTTGGTTTAGCCTGCTCTGGTATGGGTGCTAGTATGTTTACTCCTCCTGTATCCTGCATACTCTAGGTTTGTTGGTTGCTCTGGTATGGCTGGTATTATGTTTACTCCCCCTATATCTTGTATTCTCTAGGTTTGTTGGTTTAGCCTGCTCTGGTATGGCTGGTAGTATGTTGACTACTATGAAGTATGTATGTGAGACTGTATCAGATACTGCTGATGGATCTGCTGGTATATCTATTCAACAGTTTATGCTTGTCTTCAGATATCTAGCTGAGAGGTTAGTCATTTAAAACTTTATTCAAGGAAAATAAAAAGAGAAGACAAGAAATGTAGAGATATTTAATGAATAATTGCATTTATCTAGAACTACTCTTTATAAATATTGTCAACGTAATTTTAAGTGACCATTTTCATAATACCTGAGGGTTAAAAATGATAAGTAAGATGGTTAAAGAATTTGGTCGCCACTAAATGTAAATATGTGAAATTATCTATAATTTACTTTATGCTCCATTGTCCTTACATAATGTGATTAGATAATTAATAGCAAACTGTTAAAAATCAAACAGACAATTTAACAAGTGTATTTTTCTTATTGGCAGTATTATTACATAATTCAATGTTTTTATTCAATTTTGCTCTTCAATCTACAAGTTTTTAAACAAACATCTATTTTCTATTTTAATGTAATAGCAATGGAATACCTTATGTAACAAAAATAGGTTTCATGTACACCTAGGAGTCCTGATGTACCAGTAGAGAAGGTGGCTGATGTAGAAGCGTATGTACAGAAGGTTGGAGCTGTACAGGATGGTCAAATTAATCCACAGAATCTTAAAAATCCTGAGTTTCCAAATCTTGATTAATCAAGTATTTTTTAATAATAAATGTCTTAAATGCTCGTTTAAATCACAATCACAGTTTATTAAAGAAATATTATAATCAATATATTATCATCAATAAAATACTAAAACATAATATGAAATAAATGAATAAATTGCGATAATCTTTATATATTTACTTTATTCTTCACTACGTCATGATGTAATATAATGTAATATATGCATCAACGTTTGTTTTAGTTTAAAGTCATAGGTCTACTTCAATACTATTCAGTATTTACGCCAAACTAAAGTACATCTCACGTTAAATTAAAATCTAATCATTTAATCAGAACTCTTGTATTAAAGAATTTATGAAATTTGTGTTTCTCATACTTAAAGTAAAATCAAAACTAGGTAAGCTACGAGGTCACAAAGTCGTATCATTAATGTCATAAAAATGTGACCTTCAATGTGACCTTCAATGTGACCTTCTTCACTGTTTATTTGAGACTGTATTGCTCTAAATATCTGACTAAATAAATATCTGTATTCTAGTTAACTGAAAAAATGTTTTATCATATTTCGTGAAACGTTTATAATTAAGTAAAAGATTGAATGATTCTACGCTCAATAATGCACCAAATGAAGCCTTGGTTATACTTTTGTGAAAAAAACATTAAAGAATTTACATCATGAAGTTAATATGATCTATAGATGAGGTTTGAAAAATGATGATGTTCAGCGTGTGATCTGAATTATAAATTATGATGATGAGTTGTAAATAAATGAAGCGTCAGCTAGTTTTAATAGAATTATCAGGTAGAATTCGGTGTCACAGGATATAGATAATTATTAAACGCACCTTTTCCTCTTTAAAATTTTACCTTTAAACTGTTTCTGTTCAAGTCGCCATTTTAATTCTTCTCAAAATTTCGCGGATTTTTTGAATAAAAAATAAATATCGACATTTTTTTCTGAGAAAAATGTTCTAATTTGCATTGGCCCATATCGGTTTAGCCGTTTTGATGTTTCTTTGGATACAGACAGACAAGCAACATATATATAGATAAAATGAATAATATATATACTATTAATCTTAGAT